CCACTGAGGAGGCCAAGGTCGACGAGACCGCTGCCCCCGCCACTGCTGAGAAGCCCAAGCCCCAGAAGCGCGGTTCCATCTTCGGATCCTTCGTTGAGAAGCTCAAGTCTCCCACCACCGAGAAGAAGGAGCACGAGGCTGGTCTTGCCTCCACCCCCGTCAAGGAGAACGAGACCGCCGCTGAGGCCAAGCCCCTCGAGGAGGCCCAGGTTGGCGCACCCGTCGTTGCTGAGCCCGCCGTCGTTGCCACCGAGCCAGCTAAGACCGAGGAGGCCAAGGTCTCTACTCCTTCCAAGGAGAAGGACCACTTCAAGTTCGGAAAGTTCTTCGGCTCCAAGGACCGCGCCAAGTCGCCTGCTCGTGAGCCTAAGGTCGACGCGGCTGCTCCTCAGATCGCCGACACCAACGCGCCAGCCACCGCTGAGCCCGTTCAGGCCGTCGAGCCTGCCCCCATTGCTGAGACCAAGGTTGAGCCCAACACTGAAACCGAGGCTCCCAAGCAAGACAAGCGCAAGTCGTTCTTCGGCAACCTCGGCCGCTCGCTCTCCAAGGCGACCGGTAACAAGGCACCCAAGGACAAGAAGGACGCTGCCAGCCCTGCTCCCGTCGCCGAGGAGGAGGCTGTTGCCGCCCCCGCCGTTGAGGAGAAGAAGGAAGAGACCACCGCCCCTGTCGTAGCCGACATCCCCGCTGAGAACAGTGTGGGCGATGCTTCGAAAAGCGCCAACCCGACTGTCGCTACAACTGCGTAAGGTTTGGTGGGAAGATGTCAGCCTTTGCAACGACAGCCACGACGGAATGACGGAAAAGCAAAGACTTCGTAAATCCCTTGTTTGACCGCCGGCCACTGATACCCCCAAAATCTGCTTTGGATCTTGAACCCGGATTCAGGCGTCACATTTGGATCAAGCTTCTTCACATATCCCCTCTCATATTTGATTTTCTCCTTGCATCTGGACCAACTCATTGTCACTCTCTCTTGGTGGATCGCGACGGACTCTTTGTTTAGACTGATACCACTGTAACTGTTTCTCTCGTTTTGATACCACTGGCGGATCTCGGACGCATTTGTTTTATCGCGCAATACCCCGGATACCCTCTGCGTACTGCCTTGTTAGAAGGAGTACACAAGCGGCCACTAGGGCACATATCGACGTAATAATCTCTAATAAACTGTCGTTTGCTCTTACTTGAAGTGTTAGCTGTGTGTACGGTGATGTCTTGACTCAATGATGGCGATGGTTTGCGCGGAGGAGTATGCCGCGTGGATCGACCAAGTTGCATGACGCTCACTCACAACCGTCGTGTGCTGCCCGGATGAGTGTGAACTAGACACCAACCTGCAATAGACCGGCCCAGCCCTGGGTGTGCGCATGAAGACATGTGGCAAGGCTTAGGCAAGATTGTCGCATCATGAGCACGGCAAGAGCGGAAGGCGCACTGGGGGAACCATACAGGGCAAGTTGACTGCGCCTTCCTTGGTGCTATCGATTGATACTTCCATGTCTGGACCCGGCAGCCTCGTCTCTACCCAACACAGCTCGCCCTTATTCTCTCTCGCGAGGAACACCATGCCCATGCCATCATCTTTCACTTGTGTTCACATTCATACCCCGCTCGTATTGCCGCTGCATTCCTACCTTCGCTCGGTGCATTGCTAGGCCATACATGTCATCACGTCACCATGGTAGGTGGATGCCGATCGCGTGTCTCAGCGCAAGTACCAGCAGTTCGCATGCTCTAACACACACACCATTAGGGTTGTTGCGCCTCCCGCACGAGTGACAACACTCCGCCTGCTGTCCTCGCGCATTCGTCGTCGCGTAACATTACGGCACCCTCGACGCGACCGAGCTCTATCCCCTCACCACGCGCCTCACATGCTTCGCAGGGCAATGCGCACCCACCGACGAGTCGCCCAGATGCCGACAACCGCCCCAACACGCCTCTCAAGCCCATATCTCCGACTCAGCGCTCGCGCCTGCCTAACACGCTCGCTTCACCCACTGCTAAGAGCAGCAGCCGCGTCCAACCTCTGACAGACTCTACGCATTCGACATGGACCCGATCGCGGTTAGAGAAGGAGCGCGAAGACTGGTGGGACACACAGGTCACGGGTTCAGAGCAGATATGGGGCGCCATACGTCTTGTAGCGCAGCATCTACAGGCTGGCCAGTTGCAAGAGGCGCAGACGATGCTCGATGTCAGTGACTGCACGTGCCCAACGGGCCTGCTTTGGCGAGGCGTTTACGATGCGACTGGCGTCCAATACAAAGTCCCCGAGTGGGTGGTAGTAGAGCCAGAGGGCCTAGCAGAAGACGATGGTATGGACGACAAAGACTTGGCTGGAGATGCGAGCGCCAGTGCTGTGCAGGAGACGGTTGAAGACACCCTCGCCGACGACTCCGGCAGCCTCATACGTGTGAAAGTAAGGACGAGCCACGACCAGCGGGATCATCAGGTCGTCATGCGGATGAGAGATCCGGTCGCGATCATTATTGAGAAGCTGAAGAAGCAAGCAAAGGTATGTCGGACTTCATTGTCCCCATGCCTCTCCTTTACTGCATGTACATCTCTGACCACATATAGCTCAATCCTTCCCTCGTAATTCGTCTCGCATACGGCGGACGTATATATGAGCCCAACGACGTACTCGAAGCCAACGCGCGCTGGAACTTTGCTAATAACTACATCCTCACCGCTCTCGTCTTTCAGTAAACATTTGATCCTTTGCACATCCGCATCCGCGCTCCTACCATGTCCCAAGGCTCCACGTTTGAATATGCGGGTCACATGGCTCACGAGTATTACTAGGTCTCCAACCGAGTATCTCGACTTCCTGTTTGAGTCGATTGTCAAAACGTTGGATGAAATGGGCATACCGGACCCGAACGAACCTACCTCGGAACATGACTCTGGCGGTAGCGAGACCGACCCTCTTCTTCCTCGATCACGTCGGTCGGATAGTGGCAGCGATGACGGAACGTCTGCAGGTTGCGTCGCCTTTTTGTATGGGTTGGTTCGCTCATACTGGAATTTTCAGTGGTGGAACTACTCTTCGCTTCAATAGTCCATTTGGTGGCATGTTTGATACCCCTCTCTTCCACATCTTTTCGTTCATGCTGGCGGTAGGCACCGAGGCCTTTGCTTGTACCCAGCATCATTTTCCGTGCTTCGGCGTATCGCTATTGCGAGATTGTAATCATTTGGACAATAGAAGTCGGACTAGTGCTTGAAGTTCTCTTCAATACAAATATGCTCTATTCATTGACGTTATTCTCTTGACGATTCGTGTTGACAGGTGCTATAAGTGAAGCTGTGGTGAAGTTGTATACCGTTAATTGTGGAGTCCGCATGGCTTGATGGCGATCTACCAGCAATTCTTCCTGTACAAGTCACGATCTCAAGCCATGTCTGATAACGAAGATACATTTATCGTCTCTTCGACGTGTAACATCCTTCGCACGCGAAGCTCAGTTAGTATCTCCGAATGGTGCTTAACCCCGAATCAGATGTCATCACACCCACAAAACAAAGTGATGATCAACACAATTCCAAGAAGCAGTCAAGTATGTCCTCCGCTGCTAGCCTTCCCGAGGTCAAACGTTCGTTATCTGCCGTCTAGCTTCCCGCATCCTCCATCGACACCATGATGGTTGTGGTGAACCCTGTGACATCATCGTTTTTCAACCTCGGAAGCTCATCGCCCGCCATGACGATGACCTACCCTCTTTTTGAGTACCATAAAGACTCACTAAGAGCGAACCAGATACCCCAATTCGTAGCACACATAAAGCCAACATGTTCGCCTCATCTGCTTCGCGTTCTTTACGCACAACTTCCACAGAGCGACTTTCACAAATAACCAGACAAGTCCTCCCGCAACAAATCAGAATGGCGCACAACGGCACAACCCACACGCTCAACACGGGCGCCAAGATTCCTGCCATTGGCTTTGGAACTTGGCAGGACAAGGAGGCCCAGGAACCGTAGGCTTTTGTCTTGTCGTTAAGAAGCGTGTTGTTTTACTAACGCAGAGGATAGAGCTGTCACCATGGCCCTAAAGGCCGGCTACCGCCACATCGACACAGCACGCATCTACGGCACCGAGCCCGCAGTCGGCAACGCCATCAAAAAGTCCGGCGTCCCCCGTTCCGAGCTCTTCATCACCAGCAAGCTCTGGAACAACTCGCACCACCCCGACGACGTCGAAGCCGCACTCGACGCATCCCTTAAGGACCTCGGAACCGACTACCTCGACCTCTACCTTATGCACTGGCCCTCGCCCTTCGCCCGGGGCTCAGAAATGTTCCCCAAAGACTCCGCCGGCAAAGTCAAAGTGGGCGAGAGCGACTACGTCGACACCTACAAAGCCATGGAGAAGTGCTTCAAAAGCGGCAAAGCCCGCGCAATTGGCGTGTCAAACTTCAGTAAAGCGGAGTTGGAACGCTTGATCAAGGAGACTTCTGTTGTGCCTGCTGCTCACCAGATCGAATGTCACCCTTACCTCCAGCAAAACGACTTCACGGAGTTCCACAAGCAACAGGGTATCCATGTGACGCAGTACTCGCCGTTCGGCAATCAGAATGAGATCTACGATTCCGGGAAGAACATGAACAAACTCATGGACGACCCTGTGCTTGTGGAGATTGGCAAGAAGCATGGGAAAACTGGTGCGCAGGTTGCGTTGGCGTGGGGTATTGCCAAGGGCCATTCTGTTATTCCCAAGAGTAAGACTGAGTCGAGGATCAAGGCGAATCTGGAGGGTGACTTTGCCCTGCCTAAGGAGGATGTAGAGAAGATTACTGGTATTGATAAGAAGATGCGGTTCAATGATCCTTCGGGTAACTTTGGATGGAACTTTTACACGGATTTGGATGGCAAGAAGAAATGAAGGAGCGAGTAGTGTACTATAATGCTGTTGCAGTAGCCGATTCTAAATGATAACGATATGCATTACATTAAATAACGCTCAAAAACGCCCGGCGTACATCCATTCCCTAACTATAACTTCCCGCAGCCCAACTCTTCCTACTCTCCCTGCGATCCTCGCCCTCAAAGAAAATAGCAACCTTGTTTGGCTCCCCCTTGACTCCCTCATGATAGTCATATTTGATCTTCTTAAATCTTAACGCCCTCGCGTCTTTGATCTCATCCCCACTCATGACCATCGCCGCATCACCCCCAATACGACTAACAACAGGATTCAACAACATCGCCATACTAAAGAAACTCTCGTCACGGACAATCGTGCGGTTGGCAAAGATACCCAGCAGACAGAGAGCGAGGAACTGGATGAAGCAGATTCCACCTAGGATGCTGAATATGTAGGACCAGTCTACGTCGAGTTGCTGGCCTTGCGATGGGACGACGGTTTGGTGTGTGACGTTGTATCGGATGCCGTGGTCATCGAAGGCGGCGACGGCGCCGATGGTAAAGCGCATGAGGAGGTCTTCGACTTCTGATTTGGTGATGTTGTGTGCGGGCGACCATTTGGTACCTTGACTGTAGGACCGAGTTTGGCGGTCGAACCAGTTGTTCCAAGGTATACCCGTCCAGCCTATTGCACCAGCAGCTATACGGGCGAAGGTGTCGCTGCCCCAGACGGCGGCGAAATCAATGGGGTCGCGAGGTAGGATGTCATTGGGGGCGTGGGCGAACGTTACGTTGCTGAGGGTGTTGTTGCAGAGAAAGAGGGATGTGGTGTTTACGCGGTCGGCTGGGAGTTGCATGACGGTAAAGTTTGTGCATCGCGGGCCGCAATTTTCTGGTACTGAGGCCATCCAGGTCACAGATCCCCAGGCCGTTTCGGTCACGTTGTAGCGGACATAGTCTTCGGTGCCTTCCTGACGCGCCATGATGTATAGAGGATCATTTTTAACGTCGTGTACCTCACCGTCTAGCAGCTCAAGTTGTTCGCATGATGCTTTGGCAGTGATGTTGCGCGAGCTGGCGAGGTAGTTGAGCCATTGATGTTGTGGGTCGCGGTTGAAGAAGCGGTAATGCCATGCGCCGTTGCCGCTGTAAATGGGTGTGCCTGGTAAACCGGAGAGATCGGTGATCATGTCGTTCATGTCGTCGGTGAGATTGAAGCTAGGGTAGGCCATGGCTTCCATACCGAACATCCACGCCGCTTCCAGTGAGGTCTCGTTGATCAGACTTGTGTCGGGGTCGAACTCGCGCGGCGGGTTGTCAGGATTATCAACGTACCAATCGTTCAAGTTGGCTACAGTGACGTTTCCGTAAGACAAGAGCGGTATTGCCGAGTTCTCCATCGGCCAGAACAGACTCAGTAGTGCAACCAGAATCTGGGAGCCAATGTTGACAGCCAACCATGCTAAACACGCAAGCCACATCCACTTTGTCCCATCATCTCTCACGTCCTTGAACCACCGAAACTTGCGCAGCCACTTCTTGCCTCGAAAACCGGGTGAAGAGATAATCATCAGCTTCGTGACCTTGGCAAGCGAGCTCAGGTGTAAGATGAGGTCGAACACTTCCAAACTAACGTATCGTCTGGTGAGAAACGACCATCGAAACACTGATGCATAGTGCTTCAACGAGGCCAAGATGTTCAGACCCAGACATAGTGAGAGGCCGAGCGTGAGCGAGTTGAAGATTCGGATATCTTTTTTGGAGAGGACAACAGGACGGCGCCATCCTTCCCAGCATTTGAGTGTGATGCACATCGCTGCACTGAAGAAGAGGGTTACGAGGAGCTTCATCGCGCCCGTCTTCAGGAGCGTTTTCCGGGCCTCCTTGTGGTCAAATCGCTTGACGCGGTGGTGGTGTTTGTGGTGATGAGTCCCGTCTTCAACGTCAAAGGTGGAGCTGGGGCTGCCTACGCTGGCGTAGAATCCGCCCTTAGACTCTATGATATCTGGAGACTGGACCATTGATGGTGTGTGCATTGGTGAGTTGGATGGCGAGTATGATGCGTCGTCGACATGCTGCATCGCTACATCACCACTGTCGTAGCTGAGTGGTTCAGCGGAGCTGATCAATGGCGCATTGTCGGAGTGCCCCCCACTGACTGTGCGGCTGCGATCCATGGTTGTTATTCTTTTGTCTATGTTCGACGGGATGGTGTCTTTGTGCTCTGTCAAATCTACAACTGTAGAGATGACTTTACGTGGCTTGGAACCTCGTGTGCCGTCAGACGGCAGGCTGCAGGTGTGTTGGGCGAAGATAGCAAACTAGGTAGCGAGCGAGCGAGGCGTTACGCGCATTCTTTAGCGATGGCGAAAGTACCGACACTGTGGTCGTGTTCCCCGGGTATATGAGTACGTGAAAGGAATTCGGCAGTAGTCTTGCAAGGGCTCCCAAGAGAAGTAGTAAGAGTGACTGTCTGGAGTGGAGAAAATGCAGAATCCTCTTGAGCGAACATGGCGCTCTTATCGCTGTCTACCGGACGGGTTCCCGCGCGACGACTATATTGGGGGCTGAAAGATTGGGGGCCACAACAGCCGCATCTGCAAGCCTTTGGCGTTGCACGACGCGGGCGGAGCCTCTGAAGTCGAGTATAGGAATGGTCAAAAGGGCGACAGCCGGTACCAAATTGTAATAATAGAAGGCCAAAAAGTACTTCAACGACTCACCATGCGCCTATCGTGAAGCCTGCGTTCGGAGAACTACATCAGCCCACCCCTCTTCATCCTTGGTAGGCTTCGATTTTACCGAACTGGAGGCTGAGTCTCACGCTAGACCAACGAGTGTAGCGATCGGTAGTCCTATTGTTAGCTAAATAGGCTGTTGACTGCACGCGAATTATCGAGGCGTTTCTAGACCAGTAGTATCCAAGTGTTTGCACGCCACGAACAACAAGTATGGGGGGCCGGAACGCTCATTCGCCTAAGATGCAGCTGCGGGAGGGTAGAAGCGCAAGGCTTTGAGCTTGCAGTATGTCGCGAAATGCAGCTGACTTCGGTCATGCAGTCGTGGAAGCTCTTCGAGGGCGGAGATAAGCTTAGGCCGATGTCAACGTCGTTGTGGTTGTTGATGTTGTAAGCGTCGCGGAGTGAGTACCCACATAACCGGCCGCGGTTGCCAAACTGTCAGCTCTTACCTTTGCAGGCACCCACCAATCCTCGGAGTTGTAGGAGGCATCTTGATAGTGCTGTGCTACTCATGCGACGCATGCGTCGTTGCAAAAGCAGGGCCGTGGTTACTCTGACGATGATGCCCGCGCGCGAGAGCGACTGCCGATTAGCCTCAGCTAATCCCCACCTAACACTAGATGACAAATGACTGTGGAGAAGGCACGAAGGGCGTGCTGTCAACCAGTCCCAAAGCTGCATATCTATCGCATCTATCTCAATCTTGCTGTTGATTATCAACCATCGAGATCAAAACGTTATGTCGTCGTCAAACGTGGTTCTGTACGATCTGCCTAGCAGGAGTGGTTCCTCATGGTCATTGAACCCGTGGAAGAGTGAGTTCATCCACACTACAAATGCTATCTTGATCCTTCTGACAGGCGCGCAGCTCGCATGGTACTGAATTACAAGAAGATCGACTACACGACCGAATGGGTAGAATATCCTGACCTGGCCCCCAAGTTCAAAGCCCTCGGCATCCCACCCACCCCCAAGGATGCGCCAGGCTATTTCGCAGAGTACACCAGTCCCGCTATCAAGCATTCGAATGGCACCTATCAGATGGATTCCTGGCCCATTGCCTACGAGCTTGAGAAGCAACACCCGACTCCGTCTTTGCATCTCGATGACCCCATCGTGGTGCAGGTCAGGGACCATATTGCCAAGATAGCTGGCCCATTGAGACCACTACTCATTCCTCAGGTACCAGTTGTGCTGCTGAACAAGCCGAGTGCAGACTACTTCAACGAGACGAGAGAGAAGATGTTCGGGAAGCCGCTCGAACAAGTAGAAAAGGATGCCAATGCAGACGAGTGTTGGGAGGCGGCTAAGGCACCGGCGAAGGAGGCGGGCGATCTACTGAGGAAGAACGGTGGGCCTTACTTCCTGGGTCAGACTGGTAAGTGACAATGCGCTGGCTGGATCATGTCGGCTTCATATATTCTAACTTGTGAGCAGTCTCGTATGCCGACTTCATCCTTGTGTCGATGCTACACTTCGTCAAGTGCATAAGCGAGGACAAGTTCAAGAAGCTTCTGGCTCTTGACGACGCCTTCCCTAAGGTTTACGAGGCGTGTAGACAATGGCTGGAGAAGGACGCCTAGTCCGTTTTCAGCAAGCGCCAGTGCCTAAACCGATCGATCAACATCGGGACTGCTCTTTCTGTTACCTAGGTATCGTGCGTTCAGATAAATAAGATTTCAAAATCAACAATTATGAAGTTTCCTGCACTGCATGCTATGCGCCACACTACCCCTCTCTTGCGCCCGCCAGACTGCTTGACCAATCTGACTGTGCAGCATTAGCGCGGCCACGCTTCCTGCCTTGCGCCCGATGGGCAGTGTTGCCTAGCAGCTGATAAGTTCAGCTTTGAAGTCATGATGCCGCCAGATCATACACGCACAACGATAACGTCGCACCTCGACTCATACTTTCTAGACTCTTGACAAGAGCTGTTCGGTGCCTTTATTGGAACATCATCACCTCCGGTCGGACGACGCTCGAGGTCGCTGCACTAATTCCAAACGTGCCTTCAATACCCAACATGAGCGCGACAACTCCATCGCTGAGGGCTGATATTGCGCACAAAACCTCGCTCAGTTCCGATGACGAATTCGAAATAGTAGAGCACGACCTCGATGTTCTGAGTATCCCTGGATCACAAGATGGCACCCCCGTACCGACTTTAGCGGTGACAAAAGAAACAGAGCGCAACGGAGGAATGAACGAATCCAGGGAAAGCCGACCTTTGTTGTGGGATTACGATGAGTTCCACGATGCGATCAAAGGCGGGGACTTAGATGGCGTGAAGAAGATGCTGGACGACGGTGCAAACGTGGAACGTGGAACAGACGAGGGAGAATCATCACTGATCCTCGCCATTTGGCAGCAACATATCACCATCATAACGCTCTTGCTAGAAAGAGGCGCGGATGCGACCCGCCCATTCGACGGCTTTCCTCCGGTCCACCACGCCGTCATGCAAAAAGATCGAGCACCCCAGATCATCCAGCTTCTCCTCGACCATGGCGCCAGCTTGGAAGCTGTTGGGACAGAGGATATTAACGCGTTACATTTCGCTGCATCGAACGACATGATACATGGGGCTGACTTTCTAATCGGCAAGGGAGTAGAGGTCAGTAAGACCTGCACTGATGAGAGGACGCCTTTGATGCTGGCTGCAAGGCATGGACATATGGCAATTGTCAAATTACTTCTCGCCAAAGGAGCAGATTCGCACGAAAGAAGTGAAAATGGTTGCACCGTCCTGATGTGGGCGGCGGAGTACGGACAGCATGAAGTCGTTCGTTACTTGTTGGAGGCAGGCGCGACGGTGGACGACCGTAGTGTGGAGGGTCTCAGTAAGTTCATGTAGCCTTCACGACTTTTTGAACAGCAACTCATATCAGCAGCCGCCTTATCACTCGCCAGCATGAATGGTCGATTGGAAGCCGTACAACTACTGATCGAGAGCGGTGCAGACATCAATGCACTCAGTCTGGATCCAGAATCCTTTACCCCGGCAATGTTTGCTGCATTACAAGGACATACAGAAGTGCTACAGGTCCTGCTATCGCACGGAGCAGATTACAAACCAGATTCTGAAGTCGAATGGGCAGATGGTGACACGATCCTGGATATGACCATGACGAAAGGCCACCTTGCTACTGCCAAGATCCTGTTAGAAGCCATTGGTGGACCCGACTACCCAAAAGATAGCGTCGCACTCCAAATGGCGACCGCGCAATCCAAGGTAGAAGTGATACCAGTGATGAAGGCCATCTCTATCATGTACCATCAGATCTCCCATTCCTTCGACGGTCAAAATTTGGGTTGGATCAAATGGATCTTGGATTCAGGCGGAGAGCTCGTCAAATCAAAAGCCATCTGCAATATGCTATATGCTGCACTAGCCGATAGGGACGTCGGTATAACTGCAGAGCTACTCAGACTAGGAGCCGATCCAAATATCATCGGGTTCATGGGCTACACACCACTCCACGTCGCAGTCGGCGGGCTGTTTTGCAACCTGGAACTGGTCGAAGTCCTTCTCAAAGCTGGTGCTGACCCGGCTAAGCTCTCGCAAAATCCCACCATAGCATCAAGGGTCACGCCACTACATCGTGCCATCTTGGGATTCGTAAACGGTTGCCCAGAGAAAATGGCTGTCGTCGATCTTCTGTTAGCGAGTGGTCGATGTAAGGTGATGAAAGGACCAGACGCTCAATCTAGTGCCTTTCAGAGTGTAGTAAGCGCGTTCGATGGTGGGAGTGCCGAGATTGCCAAAAGCCTAGCGTTCCGGATGCTGGATTCCATATCTGACTTGAACGACGACAAGGCTGACGACGGGTCTACGTTGTTGCACGTCGCTGTCCACTGCAACCAGAATGGGCTCATCGATGCATTGAGACGCAAAGGCGCCGACATCAACGCGAAGAACAGCGACGGCATGTCACCTCTGCTCATTGCGTGCGGCATGAATGTGGAGCTGGTTAACTTTCTGGTTACACGCTGCGCAGACGTGTCTGCTGTCAACAAGAAGGGACAGGGAGCTTTGCAAATTGCCGCTGCGTGTGGGCAAGTCAAAGTGCTCAGGTTTCTCCTTGATCTCGATCTAGCTGAAGAGGAGCCACTGAACATCGACGCTGTAGACGATGCAGGTCACACCCCTTTGATCGCTGCCATAGTGGAGGGTCATGAAAGTGCAGCTCTTTTCTTACTGGTACGAGGTGCCTCTGTCCAACAGCGTACGACCGACAAAGGACGACTTGCCTTGCATTACGCAGCCCAGGCCAGTATGCAACGTGTGGTGGACGTAATGTTAGGGGTTTCCTGCAACGATATCATCAATGTGGAAGATCATGGGGGACACACACCCCTAGCACTCGCGTGCATGGCAGATACCCCCACCGTCGTTCCCACCTTGCTCTCCTACGGCGCCGACCCAAACGTCATCT